TGCTAACTGCAAGTTCGAAACCATCTGCTGATCCACGGGAGAAAGATGAGGCTTTCTACTCCATAAAGAGTTACAGTCTTGGAAACCCCTCCAGAGCGTCAGTTCTACCCTGTCCTATAGGGTTGCTGTGAGTTGGAATCAACTCGACGGCGTGATCCGAGTGTTTTTATGGTACGCTCTAACAGACTGAGTGGAAGGAGAAGAATAGAGATGACCTGTGGGGAACCTGCTGGGCTTTCTGTCTGTTTTCCACTCCATCAATGATCATCTTCTAGCTCAGCAGCCACCGCTTGGCAGCAAGAGCTCTGACCTGTGCTCGGAGTGTTCCTGCTGTGGGTCTGTGGAAGAGAATGGCCCTCCTTCCCATCCTCCCTCTCCAAGTCTCCAGGCAAAACTTGGAGGTGGAAGGAAAATGTGAACAGAGAAAGACTGGGAAAGGGCAGGTGGGAATGAGAGGGCTTCCTAGCAATCAGGGAATGAATCCAGAAACCCTGAAATTATATGTCAGATCAAGCTGTCAATGGTCACACGTGATCTAAACCAAAAAGAAAAAGAAAGTCAAACTCACAGCCTTTGGTTCAGTCCTGACTCCTCGCGACCTTCTAGGATGGAGTGGATCTGCCCCGTCAGAGACTAGATCTTGACAGGAGCAGAGGGCCTCGTCTTTCTCCCTCAGAGCTGCTAATGGGTTTTAACTGATGATCTTGTCAGCAACCCAACACATAACCCACTACACCACCGGGGCCCTCGAAGCTGGTCTACTTGGCCAATATTAGGAACTGGGGGAGCCCGAGACATTCCCAAAGCAACAATACTGTTCTTTTCCTGCTCTGACCTATTTCTTAAAATGGCCTAAATCCTCTAATGGGCTTTACAATATGAACGATGTTTCTCAACCACAGCCCAGCATGGTTAATTAGAATAGGCCAACACAGAAAGAAAGAAAGTTTAAAGGGAAGAAGAAAAGAAATGTAGTTCAGCGTGGTAACAACTACTATTTCCCACACCCCTTCCCCTCCCTTTCCCTTCTCCTGCCTCATCTCCCTTTCCCTCCTCCTGTCTCCTTCCCCTGACCTGAGCTCTATCCTTCCCTATTATCATTTGGGGTATAGGCACTAACATAAGAGATTTGGGGATAAGACATTTTCACCATGAGTCCCTTCTGTGCCGTTCATGGCTTTCTGGTCTTGAGCAGTGACTTTTCTCAGCCTCCTCTGAAACGAGAGGGCCTTCCAGCCCTGGGACCCTACGGCTGTCAGAGTAGGAGCTATGTCCAGCTGGAACTAAGGCGCGCTGAAATAAATGTATTGTCATCGAAAAGAGCAGAGGATCTAGAGAGGAAACACAGTGCTAGCTTGCATCACTGTGCCTTTCCCCTCTGGACATGGATGTTCTCATGAGAGGTGAACAAACACAGGTGTCAGAACAACCTGAAGAAGCCTCCGAAGGCCATGGCTCTTCCCTGGAGCTCACTTAGCGGGTCGGTTCCTGCGGTTGGTATTGGAGAGCTAACTCCCCAGCTCTTGCCCAGCACTGGTAATTCCTTTGGTCTTGGAGGCCCCCGAGATTTTCAGCCTCCCTGTTGTGACCCCGCTGATTAGAAACCAGGCTCGGCCCCTATCCTTCTTTCCCTTTTTAAAATCCGCTTGATCGAAATGTAATTTATATAACATACAATTCACCCCAAGTGAACGGCTTTTGGTATCGCCACAGAATTATGCAACTCTCACCACAATCAACTTTAAAACACCCTCTTCACCCCCCCAAAGAAGTAGGGTACCCCTCAACCATTGTCTCTCAATTCCTCCATGCGCCCCTCAAACCCTAGGCAGCCACAAGGGTAGACTTTGGGTAGACTAGTGTGTCTGTAGATTTGCTTATCTCTTGGGTATGTTGTATAAATGGAGTACAGTATGTGGTCCTTTGGTGTTTGTTTGTTTGTTTTCAGTATGTAGTCCTTTTCTGACCGCAAGGTTCATCTATGTTGTAACATGTATCAGTAATTAATTTCTTTTTATGGCTAAATAATATTCATTTATATGGATATTCCTCATTCTATTTATTCCTTCATCAGCTGACGGGTATTTGGGCTGTTACAACTTGTTGGCCTTTATAAATAATGGTGCTACAAACATTCCCGTACAAGTTCTTGAGTGGACATAAGTTTTCCTTTCTCTTGGGTAGAACTCAGACCATTTTCTAAAGCAACTTCATCATCTTACATTCCCACCAGCATTGTGTGAGGGCCCCAGTTTTCCCCCCTCAACACTTGTGGACAATTTTCCCTCACCCCCTTGTCAACACGCATTTTATGATTTCATAGTGAATCCATCTTAATGGGCAGGAAGTGTTTTGATTTCCATTTCCCTGATTGCTAATGTTCTTGAGCATCTTTGTATGCATTTGTTGACTACATTTCTCTTTTTGTATTTTTTTAAGGGGGGGTGCCTATGCAGATCTCTTTCAAAAATGTTGTTGTGTTTAAATTAGTGAGTCCTAAGGGTTCTTTGTATAATTTGATGCTTATCAGATATAGGATTTGCGAATATTTTCTCCTCCCAATCTATGGATTGTCTCTGCACCCTCTCGAAAGGATCCTTTGAAGTATGAACATTGCACGTGTTCATAATGTTCAGTTTATCTTCCCCACCCCTTGCGTGGCTGTGCTTTTCTCAGAGCTAAGAACTACTGCCCAACTCGTGGTCCCAGAGATGGATGCCTCTGCTTTCTTCTAAGAGTCTTACAGTTCTGGCTCTAATAGCTGCTTCTTTCATTCATTTTCATACGCACAGAGGGTGTGAAGTAGGGGTCTGATTTCATGCTTTTGTGTGTGGATACTCAGTTGTCCCAGCTCCGTTTGTTAAAAAGATAATTCCTTCCCTCACATCAATTGACCATAAATGTGAGGATTTGTTCCTGAACTGTCGACTCTAATCCATAGATCTACATTTTTAGCACTCTATTGTTGGTTACGGGTAAGTTTTGAAATGACAAAGTGTGAGTCCTCCAACTTTATTCTGTGTTTTCAAGATTACCATGGCTCTTCTAAGTTGTCTCCTACCATTCTCACCCCAAGGGACAAGGCCTCGCCGACACCACCTCTTCCAAGGTATCTCTGATGGGGGCCTACAACCTTCATTCTCACTTTTCCCAACTCCTTTCCTCACGCCTCTGCTTTAGCTACACAGATCTTCTTTTGGTTTCGCAAACATCCCAAATTCTTTCCGACCTGAAGAAGACCTTTGCACTAATATTGCCTTTACCAAGAATTCTCCCTTTCCACCCACTCCCCCCTCCTATTTCCAAGGCTGACTACTTCCGTCAGTCATTCAGGGCTCTGTTCAAATGTAATCTCTGAGAGGCTCTCACTAACCCCAGTCTAAAGTGACTAACCACCAAACCTTCCCCCATCACATTCACCTGGACTGCTGCACTTTTCACTGCCTGATATAGTCTCCTGCATATGCCGCTAGAGACAGAGTTCTACCACTAAATTCCTTTATTTAGGACATGTCCTGGCAGATAATAGGTATCTAATGCATATCTGTTGAATCAGTCAGTCACTCAGTCTCTGAACATCCCTTTTAGGGGATTCAGAACCAGGGAGAGAGCTAAGAGGCAGTGAACTAACCCTCAAACAAGATTATTTTCCTTGTACTTGTTTTGTCCCAGTAACAATTCGTCATTTCCTCAAGACCTTCCTTTTAATGTCTACCTGCATTTATAGTAGGTACAGACGCACGTACGGCTGCCTCTCTCAGACTCTCCTCTGTTGCTTTCAGGAAAATAAAGGATTGACGATGGCCCTGACCACAGTATACAAATTCAGGTCAGTAGAGAAGTAGCTATTGCAGAGACCAGCTGCAGAGTGTTGGCAGCAGACAAGGGAACATAACATAGGACTGAGAGGGTAAAAACCCCGAACTTAAGGCAGAATGAGATTCTCAGGCAGAGAACCCTGGAACTCACAGTATGATTCCAGTGCCCACCAAAATTCCAGAGCCATTGTCCCATCAGTACAGACTAGAGAGGATAAGGCCTGAGGTTACTGCTGTGGACGGAGTGGGAGAAAATTGCTCTCAACCATTGGAGAATAAGCATTCTCTTCAAAGCACATGGGACATTTATAAAAATTACCCACATGCCAGGCTATAAAGCTAACCTCCCGGATGTCCCATTTTCTAACCAAAATTCAATTAAGCTAGACGTAAGTTATATATGGACAATTAGGGAAAATAAGAAACACATAATTTAAAAAAAATTTTTAAATGAACTTCTCAACACATGTGGGTCAATTCCATGGAATTGGAAACAAACTTGTAAGGAAATAAAAATGAGAATGCTGTGGGATCAAAACTTGTGGGATGTAGCTGACATGGCACATAGAAGGCAACTGACAGCTTGCATGAGGAAACAACCAAGGCACAGAATCACGAGCTAAGAAGTTAGAAAAACAACAGAAGGAACCAAATGAAAAGAGGAGGAAGAAAATAATAAAGAGCAGTAATTAAATGGAAAACATTGCGTAGAGATGGCAAAATTTAGTTACAGGCTAACCTCTGACAAGAGTAGCCCCAAACACACAAGAGGATGCATAGACATTAGCCGTGAGAAAGGACTACTGTATAGCCAAACGTGCGCCACAGAGTAAGCCCGTCAGCACAACAACACCTGACACCAGTAAACTTAGCTCACATGGATAGGTCCCTAGAAAAATGCAACTCACCATAACTGACTGGAAGAGGAATAACAAACAAAAATCCAATAACCACTGAGGACTTTGAGTCGCATGATTTAAACCAGCTTCAACTTTCCACAAAGCTGGCACCGGGTCCAGATGGCTTCGCTAGTGACTTCTTGTCCACAGAAGGATGGTCATTGAGTCGGGATAGAGTCACACAAGGGAGTGCTATACAGCAGAGCAAGTGAAGCCCTGCTACATGAATCCACGGGATTGATGCTCACACCCACGCTGAGTGCAGGAAGCAGTCACCGAAGCATTCATGTCCTATGATTCCATTTATATAGCAGCCAAAAGTAATAAATGCAGAAGGATACATAAGTTGACATTGGAACATAAAGACAGATTAATTACCATAAAATTTACAATCGTGGGTAGGATAAAATTTGGGAATGATATAATGGCAGGGGGAAGTGTCATCAGTAATGTCTGCAGCACTGGAAGTATTTCCTTTCTAAGTGTTGGATGTATAGGTGTTCTTTTTGTTGTTATTTGGTTCCACTCCTAGGTATGTAAGCCTGGAGAAACTCTTGCACTTGAAGAAGGCATTTTACATTTTCTTTAAAAAACATATTTATCCATCTAAAAGGCATTTTAAGTACGCTTGAAAATCCTTAAAATGGTAAAATTTATGTGATGGGTATTTTACCACAATAACAGTCACCCAAAGTAAAACAAAGGCAATAACAAAAAGGAGAAAATCAAATAGACGTGGTCTTTGGGAACACAATGATAAGTTCAACTGGACATGTTGAGCAGCATTCTAGGTGGATGGCAAAGAGCTGAGGCTGACGTGTGCACTGACGTGTGCAAACATCCAGGGCAGGCATAGTAAGTGACACGCATGTTGCAGAACTGTCAGCTTGATACAATTTTAATTAAAATGTTAATATGTCCATTTGAAATAAGTCAGAACAATGTTATACACAAAAAATGCAAATACTAGCTACCACTGGGTTGATTTCTATTTCAAAATTTTGAACTTTAGTAGTGTCTCAATATTTTGAGGCAATCACGCTGACTTTTGTGATCAGAAACACAAAAAACAGCAATAAAGATTAGTTTTGCACATGTAAAACCTGTTCCAAGCAAAAGTAATTATTTTGGAAAGAGGGACCTTTTTCTCCTTTATGCAAGCACAAAAGTGTTTCCTAACAACTTGATTCTGTAGAAGGGAATTTATAAATGAGAAGGATTTCTGATCTCAGCTCCCTTTAAGGGGTTAGACAGTGAATGGGGCCCAGTCAGTCCCTCACCAACCTCTCCTACCCACACAGCAAATGTGCTGTTCCTGCCATTTCCACCTCCTCTTAGGAGTATGACCAAGGTGACCCCCAGTTCTGCCCAATTGTTCTAGGTCCCTAGTGGACTGAGTATCCAGCAGTTATATCAAAGGCCAGCACTCTCCAGACGTCCTGGGTACCTGGTACCTGTGAACTGAGAGAAGACATGATGAGGCCAGAGCAAGTGCACAGCAAGGCAGAGAACAGAGCAGAAAGGGCTGAGAGGAAATACATGGAACCCAAAAGAGCCTCTCTGGGACAGTGGATAGAACCACCCTTTCTCCTGCTGTCCACAAGACATTCCATTCCAAGTGGTGGGGGCTTTTGTGTTTTCCCTGAGGAGCTTGGAGAACAGGGTGCTTCATGGTCCCAGAGAAAGTTCAGCTTATTAAGGACAACCCGGTGTAGGCCTTTGTCCCTGCTATGCCCTCTGACAGAAGGAACCTTGGTGGTGCAGTGGTTTAGCATTCAGCTGCAAGGTCAGTAGTTCAAACCTAGTAGGCACTCCATGGGGAAACAATGTGGCATGCTACATCCCTAAAAATAACAGCCTGGAAACGCCAGGGAGCAGTTCTTCTCTGTCCTACAGAGGATTAACTCAGCCGAAAAGCCAAAACACCACCATGCTGCCATCCAGTCCATGGCAACTCATAGCAACCCTACGGGACAGGGCATAACTGCCCCTGTGAGTTTCCAAGATGTAACCCCGGGGGAGTAGACAGCCCCACCTTTCTCCCATCAACTCAACAGCAATGGATTTTAATTTTGTGTTTTTGTCTCTCTGTGTGATGTGTGTGTCCTCTCCATCTTCCTAGCTATCTTCTGTTTATTCAGATTTCAAATTATGGACTACTTCCTCCTGGAAGGCTTCCCAAACTCCCCCCATACCACCGGCATTGGCCTCTAAGAATAGATTAGGTGCCACACTGCTCCTATAGCTCCTGTGTCCAGCACTATCCCACTCCAACAGGAGTCATCTGATTCTCTCTCTAGCATTCAGGCTTCCTGAGGGCAGGGACCATGATTGGCTTACTATCTCTGGTACCTAACTAAAGACTCACGCGACTAAACGAAACCCTAACCCTTGCCATTCTGTAGGTTCCAGCCCAAGGCAACCCTCTGGGTTACAGAAGAGACCTGTGCTCCACGGAGTTTCCTGGGCTGTAACCTTTACGAAAGTCGATCGCCAGACCTCTCTTACTCAGTGCCACTGGGTAGATTCAAATCACCAACCTTTCATTGAGCAGCGGGGTGCAAACCTCTGTGCAACCCAGGGACCTACTCACACGATAGGTACCCATCACACTCGATACATAGATGACCAAAAAATGAGTGAGTGGCAGAGAGGGTACATGACAGAAGCTCGCTCTACTTGTCTGGCCTGTGGTTCTTCGCAGCCTATGTGAGGAGCCTCTGGGACCATGGAAGGGAGCACCTCCTCCCTCTCTGCAGGCTCTACACTTCCTCCCCCTCCTCCTTCTTTCTTCCCTTTTGGCTTTGCATCTTTCCTCTCCAAGCACCATGTGGCAGGAACTCCGGCTCCCTCTACTGGCCAGACTTCAAACTGCAAGGTGCCAAGGTTTCCCTCTGCCCCCTGGAGAGACCTTCCTAGCCCTAGTCCAGGGCTCACTGGCATGTCAGAAAAACAAGACTGGTCTCCGTACAGTGCTGGACATCTCTTTCGTCACCCCTCACCTCATGCTCAGCAGTGTGGGGTCTCCACCCCCAGGAGCCTTCTTCTACTCCAGCTAGTTCACCGAGATGTTGATTTCTGGGGCCTTTGGCTGATACATCAGGTCCGACTGTGGAAGAACCATCCCAGGTAGGATGGGAAAGAAAAACAAAGAGATACGCAGACAGGAAGGGACCCTGAGTCACAGAGCTTCCAACCCAGAGAGAGCAGATCAGGGCTGAGAGAGAGGGTCCACTGGGGTATGTCCCCAGCCCTTTCCCACCCCCACAGGCTCACCATAAACCTGGGCCCCAACCCTATGGAGCATGATTCCCCTCTCCTCCATCTGCCTATCTCAATAAGGGACTAAGGTGATTGTGCTGATCAGAGCTTCAAACTTAATAGAAATATATTTGGGCTGCAGGGCAGCTCCTGGAAGAACACTGCCCCCACCTCCCACCTCTCCACCTCCCACCTCTCCACCTCCCCTGCCAACCTCTGAAAGAGCCCAGCCTGGTGCTTACATCCTCGCTGTCACTTCCACTAAAGGAGTGCTCTGGCTCCAGCCCCTTCTCGGGGTTGCTCCGCTCCTCCTCTGGCATCAGCTCATCCAACCAAAGGAGCTCCTGGGGTGAGAAGACCCACTCCAGTGCCTTTCGGACCCCCACCAGGCCCAGCAGCTGCAGGAACAGAAACACAGCCCAGCGCCGTCAGCACCAGCAGCAGGAAGGCTAACGACGGCTAAGGGCATGGGCATGTGCCATGTGCTGGGCTTTGCTCCGCACCCCACTGAATGCTAACACAATCCGGTAAGTTAGATACAATCATTCCCATCGTACCGAAAAGGAAATGGACCCGCCGAGAATACTAACTTCCCAGAGGAAGCATGCTGGTCTCCCTGCAAAGCCCATGGCCCTTCATCTCCCCAGTGAGCAAGAACAAAGCCAGAAACTACCCAGTTGGTCACCTCGCTCAGTAACTCAGGCCTCAGTTTCCTTCTGGGGTTGCTGCCCCTGCCTGGTGGTTGATCAGAGCAGACCGAAGATGCTGGGATAAAGGCAAAGCCGGCACCCACCCTTTCTCTCTGTGCCAGTATTCCCAACAGCTAGAGCCAGCGCAAGTGAGAGGGCCGATGGATCTTTCCTTTGTGAGGGTCTTAGCCCCCCTTCCTAGGATTGGAGTCTCCCAAGTCACCCACAGAGGTAGGACCCACCACCCACTCCCACCCGAAATCACCATGAGGGGGAATACGATGGCCGCAGGGGTGGACTTGATGGTCCAGAGCAGTCCCAGGCATGCCAGCTGGATGGCCGTGAACAGGTGGACCCTGCTCAGAGGTACATGCCGCAGGAGCAGCAGATCTGGCTGGTGTTTGGCCGGCATCAACAGTAGCTGCACCCTCTTGGTGAACTAGGAACAAGAGGACGAGGCACACACAGCACTCAGGTAGCCTGGGGTATGTCACTGTTAGTGATCGCCACCCCGAAGACTCCCTTGGCCCCCTCTCTACTCCCTGTGTGGCAGCCCAGTCCCTGTGCCCAGGAGAGGCAGGCAAGGAGAATAAGAAAGGAATTGATTAGCAAGCACAGGCAGGGGGTACTGGTAGGGGAGAACACATGAAGAGGACTTGGGTTGGTAGGCGATTTTAATGGGCTCACCTGGATGCTGCTAAGTGCTGCCACCCCCATGTACAGGAAGATACCATAGAGCACCGGCATCGGGATGAACTGGGAGAAAGAAGCAGAGGGCTGACCAAGGAGTTTGCCCTGCCAGCCACCTAGGTGCTCCCTCCACCTTTGCACCAAATCCATCCCTCCAGCGTCTCGGCCTGCCCAGGCCTTCCTTTGACTTCTCACTTTGCATGCCTGAGCTCGTGGACTCCTTCCTTCAATCAGACAAGGCCATTTCTATTATTGTCTCCAATTTACCGATGGGCGATGGGGCAATTGAATTTCAGAGACAAAGTCACTTGCCATTACCTGGCTTACTTCTCCAACCTTGTCCTTTACAGTTCCTTCCCCGATCTGGGCTCCAAGCTCCTGGCCTCCTGTCATGCCCTCAGCGTGCCCAGCCAGGCCCCGCCTCTAGCAAGGCCTTTGGCGTTGTCGTCTGCCTCTGTCTAAGCTCCTTCCTCCAGGCCTCTGCATGGTCAGTCCGCTCCTTCCATCTCAGTGCTCATGCTTTCTGTCATGGCCTTTCATGCCAAAAGGCCTTCCCCAACCAGTCCATCTAAGTAGCCACCCCCAGATCCCTAGGGACTCTAGGTCACTTTTACCCACCTTGATTTTTCACAGAAATTATCACGGTCGGGGATTCCCTCGTGTCTGGTCTTATTTTTGGTAAATAAAATAAAATTAAAAATATGTTCCTTCATACTAGATGGCACAGATGGGGACCTGGTGTCTGGACCATGACTGTATCGCACTTGACTGTGAGCTGAAGGGTGGTTGGTTCAAATTTACCCAGTGCACCTTGGAACACGGGACTGAGGATCTACTTCCAAGAGGGCACATCCCGCAAAGCCCTGTGAAGCAGCTCTACTCTGTACCCCCCGGGGCCTTCTGAGTCAGAGCACACTCGGTGCCAGCCAACAACAACAGCAACAAGATTCCCAGAACAGGGAGCCGTGCGTGCGTGGCATACAGTTGAGGCTCAGTGAACATCTGCTGAGTGAGTCTCAACTAGTTATTAAGTGGCTGATCCGGTCCATCTGGCTCTTTGGACAACTCCACTCTCACCAGCCTCTGTGACCTTTCCCTCCCTGAACCTCCCGTATCCGGCCAGTGACTGGCGGCTACGCTCCATATCCCCCTGGCCTGCTAGCTGCCTCAGCTCTGTGGATATCTCTGCTCTTTTTACTGAACGGTGGTGGTGGTTGTTGATTGTGCTGGTCCTGGTGGCATGAGCTTGCTGCGTATTCCTTTGGGGCACCCCCTTCCTCCCAGGTACCTAGCTGAGTCTATAAACATCCGGTATGGGACAAGTGAGAGGGTTTGCCTCAGCATTTTTCTGGGATGCCTTGTTCAGACTGAGAGCTTGTGGAGTGGCTGGGGCAAGGCTATGTTTGGATCCTTGAGGGTGGTGGCGGCGGTGGTGGTCGCCCTGCTCCACTTTGTGGGGGAAAAAACAAAAACAACCCTGGATAAGAGATGGGCCTTCAGCTAGATCGGCGTTCAAAAATTGGCTCTCAGTGGGCTCTAGTAAGTTCCTTGGCCTCCTTCGCCTTCAGGTTCCTCCTTGGTAAAGCTGTGCCTCTCGGAATGAGTGGGAAAAGGAAATGAAACCACACGTGGAGGGAACCGATCATCGTGCCTGCCCTACAGCAAGTAAGTGCTCCACCAGTGTCAGTCCCTGCTATGTGACCACACCCTGACCCTGGCCCTGACCTGTCTGACAAAGGTACCTTGAGCGCAGGTGCCAGGAAGATGGAGACGCCTGTGAGAACGAACACCACCAAGCCCGTCAGCCTCTGCTCCCTGCGGGGAGACGGGGTGGCTAGCCAGAGTCCCAGGGAGCCCCTGGGCACCTGGAGACCCTGACCAGACATGCCTACAGATCCTGGCAACAGGGAGGAACTAGAGGGATTCCTTCCGACGGTGGCTGGAAAGGAGAGGACCTTAGCTCACTCGGGTTGAAGACTCAGTGGGCCGGACTGAGCAGGGCACTTCTCTATGGGAATCCCAGGCTTCTCCATGGGCTCAACATGGGCTCCTTGTTGCTGGCTTTTATTTTGGTGGGAAATTGGCTCGTAAAGATGCCTCTTTCATGGGGTAAAAAATGACGAGCTGATACCAAGGGCTCAAGTAGAAAGAAAATGTTTTGAGAATGATGATGGCAACAAATGTACAAATGTGCTTATTAACACAATGGATGGATGGATGGATTGTCATAAGAGTTGTACGAGCCCCCAATAAAATGATTTTTTTAAAAAGACTCCTCTCACAGTTTACAAAGTTGATTCCATACACGTTAGACAGTGATTTCCACTGGTGACAACACTGTGTGTGTCCAGGCTCCCCCAATACTGTCCCTGAAGCACTCCACACTTCAGGGACTGTTAAGTGGTATCTCGCTCTCCACCTCAGCCCTGGCTGCTCCCTCCTTTAACACGATATTGCCCTTTTTAACTATCCTCCCACCCCCAAGGCCAGACCCTAGAGAAGAGGGATGATCTGACTCAGCCACTCAGCTAGAACCCCCCTACCCCCCAATGCCACGCTTGTGTCCAGCCAGGGATCCACCAGCTTAGAACATAAGCTGCCAGAATGAATGCCTTGCACCCCACTAACCAGCCCACATTGCTGCCCACTGCTCACTGCAAGCGAATGCCAGCCTCACCTGATACCCAGGAAGCGGGGCGGCTCTCCGGGGGCACAGGCTCTGCTTTCCCGGCGAAGACTGTCCATGTGGGCCAGGGAGATGACCGTGGCTGAGACATACCAGGGCAGCCCCAGTGCTGAGGTGAGCAGCAGCAACACGGCCACACAGAAGAGGTCCAAGTGGAAGCCAGCCCCTTTCTACAGGTCAGTGGTGGAGGAGATGAGGATGAAGCTAGCCCCGGCCTGGGTCCTCGGTCTCCGGGTGTGGGCCAGGAGCCCACCCTGGAGCTTCTGCGCCTCGGGCTCAGAGTTGAGGCCTCACCTGTAGTCGATACTCGGCTCGGTGGAGGATGACGGCCGTGATCTGCTGGTCCATGAAGATGAGGATCGAAAGCAGCAGGGCAGGCAGGACTGCCGCCAAGCTGAGCCACCAGGGGTTGGCTCTAAAGGGTGACACCAGCCAGCCACGCCCCGAGAGGGTAGGCTGGGGAGAGAGCATTCCATGGCAGGAGAGGGTCTCTCACAGTGAGCATGCCTCACCCACACACGTCAGCTCTGGCATCCTAACACAAGCCCACCCCTCACGAGAGATGGGAACAGTGTGTGTGTACGCGCTTCGTTCAAAGAATTAAGCCCTGAAAGAAGGCTGAAGGAAGGGGAATAACCTGGGGACTGGACTGGAACCAGGGGCTCAAGATCCCTCCCTCCATGGAGAATGAGGAGGAGGAGGAAGTGGCCTGCCCACACTTCTTGACACTCCTCCCAAGGCAACCTCTCCAATCCAGGGTGGGGCAACTCAGGCTCAGACCTGCCTTGGTCTGGGGCACAGGCAGGGTTGGGTGTATCTCCAATATCTGCTCTGATTATAAGCGTCAGTGTCGGGGTAGGGACTCAGTTGCTGCCTCTGGTTCTAAGCTCCGAGGCTTCCCCATGCTCTTCTGCCCTGAGGGAGGCTGTAGGGGAGGCCAAGTCTGGGAATCAGTGCTAAGCCTTGTCCTGCACACTGTGTGGGGAGGGAGTGCCAGCCAGAGCTTCAGATGATCAGAGCCCAGGACGGGGTGACCAGGAAGAAAGGGGGGGAATAGTGGAACAGGTAGGCCCAGGCCAAGGCTAAGAAGAGCCCATAGCAACCAGAGTCTGGCCTTTCTCGAGAACTTGGTAAGAGGAAGGTACTATGGAAAGTGCTTCACACTGTGGTCTTCTGTAAACCTCAACACAGCCTGAAGGAGGCACGACTGTCACTTATAATTTCTATCTTATAGATGAAGAAATTGAAGCTCAGAAAAAAAAAAAAGAAAAGCAAGTGAAGCTCAGAAATACAGGTGAACTTGTCTAAGAGCACGTGACAGAGCTAGAACTCAACCCCACAGCCCGCTGACTAGTACAGTGCTCTTAACCTCTGACCTAACCTTAGGTGTGTTCTGTGCTCACCGCGCGGCAGGCACAGCACCTCTTCCCGTCTTCACAGCCCCCTGGGAGGCCAGTACTACTATTCTTCTGTGCCGGGAGTGAGGAAGCTGCAGCTCGTGGGAGCGGAAGGGCGGTGGCATCTCCGCAGCTTCTTCACGGGCCCTGCCTGCTGGCCCTGCTTCTCCCTCTGCCCCACCCCTCAACTTCCAGTTCTTACCTTGAACTCTTGGGGCACCATGAGCTTCGGTGTGGCCAGGCCCAGGAAGGCGTCAAGGCCACAGCCCAGCAGGATGGCCAAAACTGAGGCGAAGTCGCTGAGTACCTTGCGTGCCTGGCCACAGGATGGACACTTGGCCAGTGTTGGGTTCACCATTCCCTTCCCTCTACAGCCTTGCTCATTTTCAGAGCGGGCTCAAGGCAGGGGGCCTGGCTGCCCCCACAGACAGCGGGAACACTCACCACGGCGGGAAAGAAGCGGCTGGTCTTGATATGCTTGAGGGCCGTGGCAAAGAGGAAAGTGGTAAGGAAGAGGAGGAGGGAAAAGAAGGTGATGTCTGGGACCGTATGACAGCCAGGGCCACGAGGGTGACCTCCCCGCTGGACACACTCAGTTGGGGGCAGCAGTGAGGCATTGACCAGGCCTAGGTCCTGTAGAGACGGGTGGTCAGGGTCGTGGAGTGAACATCCTGCTCTCCCAGGCCTACTTCATAAGGAGGGGGACCTGCTGAGATGCCAAGAGCTTAGGGTGGGAGGTCTTCAGCCATAGGAATGTCTGAACCCCAGTGACTATAGGCTAGGAAGATTCAGGTAGCATTGAGTTCTCTGTCCTCTACCCTTCCCAGACTCTCACCATGCTTATGATGTCATCAGTGCCCTTTGACCTCGTCTTTTGCCATTGAGATTCATTTCCTGGAAGTAGAGGATTCACAAATATATGTCTCCTGCCCTGGGAACCTTCTCAAGTCCCCCAGGAGCCTAATCTGAGCAGACCAGATAAATCAGAGAACCAAACAGTTCTTGGCACTGACCCACCTGTCTGCTGATTCCATTGCTACCAAGTCTGTGCTCCTCAGAACATTCCCTTGTGCCCACCCCCTTGTATCCTCTGCCCATCTGTGTCCCTGGTGTCTAGCATAGGACGTAGCAGAGTAGATGCTCAGGAAATGTTTGATGAAAGTCTATGCATATGGGCTTGTTAGATTTACAAACCTGGGTGATTCTTCCAGGGTAGGAGCCCTGGTGGTGTGTAGTGGTTATGTGCCAGGCTGCTAACTGCAAGGTCAGCAGTTTGAAGCCACCAGGAGAAAGATGTGGCTTTCTACTCCCGTAAAGAATTACAGTCTCAGAAACTCACAGGGGGCAGTTCTGCCCTGTCCTATAGGATCACTGTGAGTCAAAATCAACTCGATGACATTGAGTCTGGGGTCTTCTTCAGGGCCAGAACTGGGCCTGGTTATCCTAGCATAGGTATGGCACAGGTTAGAGGGAACAAGTCTTCCCCACGTCTGTTGTCTCAAGTGTAAGACATCAAGCCTCTCTGGCAGAAGTGGTGTATCTGGCCTAGATCCTTGCTCTCCTCTCTCTGGGGGAGTAAGCTGCCCACATTGTGTATTTAACTCAGTTTCTTTGGGACAAGGCTCTACCCAGTAGTGCCATAACTGGGCAGATGTTGCTATGTGTTATCAAGTTGGTTCCAATTCCTAGTGACCCTTAGGTTAGCAGCACTGCCCTTGGGCTTTCCTAAACTGCACTCTACAGAAGCCGACTACTGCATTTTTCTCTCATGGAGAAGCTAGTGGATTCAAACCACTGACTTTTTAGTTGGCATCTGAGTCTTACCCAGAGTGCCACCAGGGCTTCTGACTGAGTGAGTGGGCCATCTATCGAATTTTGGTTTTATCATTAGGAAGGCCATACATCTGTCTAGACATGTAGCCCATGTTCTACAATGTTCTTGGGAATAAAGAAGCTCCTTGGCCTCCATCTGCTACTCCATTGTCTCTGTTTTCAACTGATTCAGAAGCCGGGCGGGAGAGCGCTGCTGGCAAGGGGTCCCCTGGAGCTCAAAGAAGGAACCAGGGGCCACCAGGGAGGGCACCAGGATTGCCCCTCCTCTCATCTGACCAAGCCCTCATCACCCACCTTCTGGGCCCAGGAACTCGCAGAGGCAGCCATAGGCAGGGCCAGGCCTTTGGATGGGATAAGCATGGGCCAAGTTCAGCATTTTGCCCACAGAATCGTAGATGAAGATGAGGCTGATGAGGGCACAGAAGCCTTCCTCGGTGAAGCGGGTGAAGTATCGCACCAGCACACTGGCTTCCGTGGCCACCATTACCAGGCAAAAGGTAGCCACCCAGATACCGACCCACAGACGGAAGGGCAGGTAGTCTAGGCCATGATCTCTGTGGGACATGAGATTGGCAGGGCTCAGTAGGGCGGTTCTGCTCTTTGTCAACCCAGGTTAAGCGCCCCTCCTGCCAAGCACACAGAGCCCACCCACCCCTATTGACTCAGCCACGACTAGGCCGAGGGTCTGGAAAGGTGGGGGAGCCCGCCTACCTGCTGAAGGAGTACAGCAGGCGCTCAAAGACCAGCACCGGCCCAGTGCTACTGAGGATGGTAAGAGGCTGGCCCGCCATCAGGCAGAAGGCCGCTCCGGCTGCCGCTGTGCCTAGGAAGCTCTCCAGAACCCCCTGGAAGCCAACAAGGGCTCAGCTCTGCAGGAGGCCCGAGCTGCTGAAGACGTTCCCCAACCCACTCATCGTTCCACGTGACTCCACAGCTGTGTCCCACGGGGCAGCGCCACCCACCTGGGCACCATCGGTGGCATCTCCCAGCAGCCCTCCAAAAGTGATGGCGTTGGTCACGGTGGCCAGGTAGATGTAGAGCACAGTCGAAACGCACTGGAGGTGCAGGGCGTCCGAGAAATCGCTAGGATACCACGAGGCCTTCCGGCGCACGTCCTGCACAAGTCCACCGAACAGCCTCCCGCCCACCCGTGGTGGGTTGTCAGAGACCCAGGCGCCCACGCCCCACGCCCCCATCAGACGGTTCCTGTACCCGGATGTGCCCCTCCCACCAGGAGCGCACACCTCTGATCCCCCGGGACTCAGCTCCCCACCGGGAGTCCCACGGGGCGGGCACCCTCGCTCGCCTCACCTGCCGGTCCGCTGTAACTCTGGGTTGGGCGCGTGCGGCCCACGGCCATGCCTGTCCTCAGCTGGAGCCCCGCAAGGGACGGAGGGGTCCTTAGCCCCCCACAGCTGTGAGAGGGATCTGAGCAGAAAGGAGAACCCAGGTAGGTGGAGGCTCTCAAAACCAGTCTGCTACTGGCCGGCTGAGTTCATGACGTCCCTCCCCCTGGTGGCTGCTCGTGTCTCTGCTGGCGAGGGCTGTCGCAGTGACCGGGAGGGGAGACGGCTTCCCATCAAGGAGGTCAACGGGGGTCATACGTGCCCTTCTTACCGATGGGAGCAGGTGGCCTCATTTTTCTCCCCCGAGCGGCCAGTGGGTTGGAACCGCCCACCCTAGGGTTAGCTGCCCAGTGCTTGACCTACTATGTCAACAGGACTGCGCTCCCAGAAAGATGACCACCTGGGGAGCAGCTGGCCTTTGGGAATCAGAAGAGCCTCTCTGGCAGTGAGTTTCGGTTTGGTTTGGTTTGGTTTACAGACGGGAAGCCCCCCCTCCCCGAGAGAAGTACTCTTTCAAGGTCTCCGCAGCAAGGGGCCGGACTCTGGTCCCTAACCTTCATTTCCTGACGTTCCCTCCCGCCTCCACAGTGGAACCAGACCCAGGACCTGGACCTCTACCGGGGAGCTGAGTGGGATGGTGACCCCCGGTGCCTTTGCCTCTTCTTTTAAAATAAAAAAATGTAACAGCTTTGTTGGCATATAATCCACGTATCTTACAATTCAGTAGTTTAACCATATTAAAAAGAGCCGTGCAGTCATCGTCACCATCAATTCTAGCACACTTTCTTCTTTTTTGTTCTCATTGTTATTAGCGCCCTGTCCCCACCTCCCACCTCCCCTATCATCGCCCCGAAGAAATCTATAGTTTTGCTCAGCCTGGATTTCATATAAAGAAAAACATATAAAAACAAGCCTCCCCCCTCCCCAAGCTGGATACCGTTTTTGCTGAGAGGGCAGGCATTTGGGGGGTGGGATCCGGGTTGTCGGGTCCCACCGACCTGGCGGGAGCACCGTCACCTCCTCTAGGAAGGAGTCCAAGGCTGCCAGGAGGTCATGGTGGCTGCTGGCCCGCCGCGCTGACCGCTGGAAATGCTGGGGAGAGGGGCCCAGGGCTGGACACTCAATGTCCTTTCTCCGTCTCTGAATGGGACCCGTGCAGGCCCCTTGGACAGACAAGCACTCACTCTCGCTTGCGCTGATTCTCTGGCTTATGCACTCTCTACTGAGCTTCTGCGGTGCCAGCAGCTGCTAGGGCTGCCATGGCGACCAAGGAAACTTCAGCCCTTGGGCTCAGACTCAAAATCACAGCCAACATCTTGCTGTACTGGGTCCCTCAGACAGAGGGTGACACCCCCCGCCCCCCTTTCTCTCTCTCTCTCTCTCTCTCT